GAACAAATTGCCTTAATGTCGTCAAAAACTTCGTCTGATAAATTATTAAGCAAAGTATTAATTTTAATAGAGTCCGATAATGTACTGGTCGAAAAGTAATTTAATATTCTGTCTAAATAAATTTCAGTAAGAGGACCCACTAACTTAGGGATCTTATGTGTAAATTCTTGTTTAATTTCCATATTTAATTAATAAGACACATAAATAAGCAATTATAACATTTATTATTTTATCAATTCAAATTTTTGGTATAGCTATTCATGTTTTGGTAAATATACAGATTAATTCAATGAAATCATTGTCACCATAAATGTAATGTTTCCCATTTAACAATTCGAAACAATTAATCATATCTCTTAAGTTCATAAATTCAAACAACACGTCCTCCGTACCGTCTATCCTATAAAAGTTGACATCGGAATTATAAGTTAACTCAAACAAAATATCGTAGATGGAGATTTGATGGGGTACATTTAGTAGTTTGAAGGCGAACATAATTGATGAAAATAATTTTGAAATGACTTACCCTTTTTTTATCCATCTTATATAGAATTGTTTGTACCATTTTATAATTTTTTTTATTAACCATATTTACAAAGGGAAAAAAATTTTATTTTTAAAAAAAATTTCCATAAGGCGAGTTTCTTTTGCCAAAACTGGAGGCACCATGTAGAATAACATGAATATGTGCCGGTGAATAATAAATAAGTTTTATTAACTTTATCAAATAAAAAATATATTTTATTAATGCAAAGAATAAGGATGGTGACGATGTGGCGCGAGATTCGAGTCAGTAAAAATATATTTTATTAACTAACTTCTTTTTTCTTTTCTTAAGGTATAAATACCTTTTCTAAAATATAAATTAGAATATAAAACGAAATACAAAAAAGTAAAATAATATTAAAAAAGTAAGGTTACGCCGTTTATAAAATAAAATTAGATTATAACAAAAATAATAAAAGTTCAAATGCAAAAAACAAAAAATAAGATAAAGGAATAACGCAACACTTCTAATAATGAAAATGAAAATATCTCAAAAACACAATCTACTCTTAATTTAAATATGCCCTCCACAAGTACAAAATCACTTTCTTCAATACCATCGGATAAATTCCAAACAGATCATATGAACCAACTCATTATAAAATGGGTAATAATGGAGTCTCTGCCAATGAAGACTTTTGAAAGTTCAGGTCTTCATAATTTAATCAAATATTTAAACTCAACTGCTACAATTTGGTCAAAAAACAAAGTTAAAAATTTTTATACAGCTAATTTTGAGAAACTAAGAAATTCTCATATTTTATATAAAAATAATTCTTTAATAAGCTTTACCACAGATATGTGGAGCAATATAAATAAAATTTCATTTATCACCATTACTGCACACTATATTGATTCTTCTTTTACATTAAAAAATATTTTACTTGATATAAATCATATCCCATTTCCTCATACTTCTGAAGAAATATCCTTAGCTATAAAAGAAGTAATTGATGTATATCAATTGGAGGAGAATATACTGGCCTGTACTACAGATAATGCCAATAACATCCTAAAAAGCATGGATATTTTGCAGAATATTTATAAGGAACAAAAATTTAAAGGCTTTAGATGCTGGGCCCATATTCTAAACCTAATATCTCAGGAAGGTTTATCATATATTACAACTATCCTAGAAAAGTGTAGAGACTTTGCCTTTTCTATAAATAAATCACCCAAAATAAAGTATTGTTATTATCCTTTTTTATATTATTTAAAATTTCATTATTTATATTCTCCATATATAACATGGAAATCCCAACAGTAGGATATTTGGATCCTGGTAAATCAAGTGTGGTTTTATAGAAGGGCCTTAGAAAATCTACAGCCTCTTTAAGGTCTTCTTTTTCACACTCAGTAAAGAAAACCCCTTTAAATTGTTTGTAATTCAAAAAAGTACTTCTTCTATAGCATCCATGTTCTAAAAATTAAATATTTTTTAAAAATAATTGGATAAAAATGTAAATACCTCATAAATTGTATTCATCATTAAAGAAATTCTTAATAACATGCTGGTTAAAATGCAGAAATATCTCAAAGAATTATTTTGCTATGAATCATATGTCTCAACATTATTGGATCCGAGATTAAAACAAGTTTACATGCCTAATACTCTTAATAGAGTTGAGTATATGACCAAATTTTCAAAATATTTAAGGAAAATAGAAAACAAAAAAAAATACAGGAATAACGGATTCTCAGGTATATTTTTAATATTTATTTATTAAATCCTAATTTTCAAACATTTGTGCCAGGAGGAAAATGAATTTAGTTTTTTAGAAAGAATTTTATCCCAAAAAAGAAATTCAGAAGGGGATTATATATCGGCAGAAATCATTGAAGAAAATATATCAGAACTTCACACCTATTTGAATGAACCTCTTATTTCATTAAAGGATGACATATTATTATGGTGGAAAGCCAATAGTGAAAGGTATTTTATATTTTTTAAATAGTCAATATAGTTTATTATATAGAGTTTCAGTCCTCTCAATAGCAGCTAGAAATTTTTTAGCAATTCAAGCAACATCTGTCCCCTGTGAACAAATATTTTCGAAAGCAGGAGATCTTGTCACTAAAAAAAGGAATAGGCTTTCAAACAAAACAATACAAGATTTGATGTGTATGGGCTCTTGGTTAAAGAATGGAATAGATCTACCGCCTCCATTAAGTCCCTCTTCTAATTCCTACCAAGGAAGTTCTACAAACAAAGACATTAGCATTTATTTAAATTAAATATTTGTATTAATTATTATATTATTCATAATTAATTTTATATTGTTTATATAATACACTTATATTTAATAAAATGATAAAACAAATAAAATTAGGTTAAAAAAATATGTTTTTTATTTAGGACCACGGTCTGGATCAATCTTTTTTAAAGACCGTGGTCCAGGTTGGTCCGAGGGTATCGGTCCAGTCCAGACCAAAGATCGGACCGTGACCTTCTATTAAACATAAAATATTTCCATTATGTTATTTTTATCCGGGATTCAAACTGATATTAACGAACGGAACAGAATAGTGTCATAATATTCATTTTAATGTTATATATATTTTAACCTTAGTGGCGTGTTAGAAATAACCGCCCCCCCCACCTCTTCATGGTAAATATAATGTGGTTTAATTACCTGTTTTCATAATTTCTATTCTGTTATTTCTATCTCCCCCCCCCCCTTGTCCCGTACAACTTATTTCTTTTTTTTCTACTTGTTTCTTTTGTTTCCCCATCTTCCTTTATTTTGTTATGAAATTGATATATTATACCTTATTTTTATATTGCATTTGAAACTGGTTAATGATTATATCGCGATTAAATAACAAATTTTTTTTCCCTTTTTGTTTTAAAAATTATAAAGGTGGAAAATAAAACACCTTTTTGGATCATTAATTATTTTCGTGTTTTCTTTTGTAAATTGATATTTTTTGATGAAAATTTATTGTGCGTTGTTTTTAATTATTTTGTAAATTGTAACATTTTAACAATAAAGTTAAATTACTAAAATTATTCTGGATGATGACAAAGTTAAAAACCCGTCCCACGAATTCTGCCGATCCCTCACCTATTCCCCGGTAGAACCGCTTGCGGTCGTGCCCTCAAACTCAACACTAAGTCTAGATGAAAAGTGGATTATGGAAATAACCTTTCTCTTTCTAGGAAAAAATTTGCTTTCACGTTTTTCTTTTCAATTTTAAATTGTAAAACCTCTTTCATAATTTTCATATATTTCTATAAAAATCTATCGTCACAAATCTATAATTTTTATGCTATCTACTAAATTATAAAATATAAAAGCTACCAACCGATTTATCAATTCTCATTTAAAGTTAGCCCTTTTGAAATTAAAAAAGAAATACTCTCAACGTTCAGAAAACTAATAACTTTTTAGAAATATTTTCGTTATTTTAGCGGCGGGATTATTTTTTGATAATTTAAAAAAAATTATTCGGGGAATTTTTTCCTTTATCCGGGGATTAATTTTCCCCCATATTTAATTTAAAATCTAAAAAATGGGGAATTTTTTTCCAGGGGAATATTTTTTCGGGTAATTATTTTCTAAGGATTTTTTTTCATGGGAATTATCTTTCAGGTGATATTTTTTCCTGGGATTTTTTTTCTGGTGAATTATTTTCCAGGGGATTTTTTTCCGGGAAATTATTTTCTTGGGGATATTTTTTCCGGAGAATTATTTTCGGGGATTTTTTTTCCGGGAATTATTTTCCGCCTACCGTGCTAATTTCATTAAATATCAAATCGATGAATTAGTTTCGGTGATAAATTTTAAAATGGTAAATAAATAATACGCCAAGAAAAATTAATCGATTTAGCAGCGTATTTATTTCTGCTGTGATTATGATAAATTAATAAATTGGTATATATATGCGATGAGAGGTAGGAATCAGTATAATATTTTTGAAAAATATTTTAACTAGCATCCGAATTTTTTGGTTGAGGGGGGGGGGTGTCCCCCAATGAATTCCAGATATTTAAGTATAATTTATGAATTTTGTATAATTTTCCACGCACCTTTAGATAAATAATAAATTTCAGATATGATTTAACAGAATTAGAAAATAAATCTAAGGAAGGAATTTTATTAATTTTTAATTAAAAATAAATTTTATCCCTATAATATTCTCCATAGGGACGTCCAATCGAACCCCAACTCAAATATCAATATAAAAGTATTTTAAAAAGATAATTTTATCCTATCAAATTTTTCATGGGAGGGAGAGGGGAAGGTTACCCACCTTGGTAATTAAAAACAATACAAATATGTGACTCAAAAATTTTCCAACTTTATTATTTATAAACAAATTATATAATATATATAAAGATTTACAATGTAATCATCAGAAATATATTAAATAAAAAATAAATCACAAATAAAAATTAATTTTAAAAAAAGTGATATATGAATAAATTTTTTTTATATAGATTTATAGTTAATTCAACAAGTTAAACAAAATTTTCTCATAACACCGATAATAGATCTATTGATTCTAGTTTCGTCTAATTGAGTCAAAGGATAGGCGGCATCTAAAATATCTAAACACTTTGATAGAAAAGTTAATAATAATTAAATGTATAATATATAGAAAATTGGAAAATCATAAGTACGTTTTTAGTCTTAGCCCGTCCTTAAAGATAATATGGGGGGCATACATATATAAAATTTATTATAAGATAACATAGGTTTGAGATAAGAATATTGTCCAATATAAATTATTCACATTTTGCCTTACATTGGGGCGATTCCGGTCCTAGTATTAAGAATCTGGCAGTCAAATTTGAATTACCCTGCATTCACATTTAGGGCGAATTTGTGGCGAATTCGTCAGAAATTCGCGCTAACTGTGAATGAAGTGTTAGGAAGGGTTCGATTTTATGTCATCATCCCTTTTAAAAAATTATAAAACGTCGTCCCTCTGATGTGATTTTTTTGAAAAAAAAATAAATAAAATATTTGGAGGCACAAAATATAGTAAGGGCCTACATTTTAATAAACAAAAGAGACTAAGGATAAAATATAATGGTGATCATCACTTAGACCTAGAAAAGGTTTATGATTGACCATGGGATTTAATATGATTAGCGTTTTGTGGAAAAAAAATTCCAGATGTTTATTTAAAAAAAATATAATACAAGATGTGTGATAATAATAAAGCAGGGATGTGAACCCTCCGACAAAAAAAAGGGTTCGGGACCAGGGTCCGGGTTTGGAGATCATAAAGAAATTATATTACGCAATTTATTTATTTTTTTATGTTCCATATAAATTATAGACATGCAAAAATTTAAAAATTAATTTATATTTTAAATGTTTTATTTAATCGCATAGCCCTTAATATCATTTATAATAAAATATTATTCCCTACACGACAAAACATAAGCGTATCAGGAATTTTATTAAGACCATCCTCCCCCTTCCCCATAAATTTTGCTGGAGATCTTTAGGTCTACAAATTGTAGGTCTTTGGCTATATTATAAAAATAATATTTTGTTATCACTTTTTTTAATATAAAAATTCTTTTTTTCATGAAATTTTGAATTACAATCTATATTTAAAAAATTATTTACTTTTTACTAATTTATCTTAGAAATTCGTAATATGTTATTTATATTTTTAAGTATGGGGCAAAAAGTTATATTGCCTTAAAATGATGTTTACGAGAGCAGGCAAATTTGCAATGAGGGAAGGGGCTTGGTTAGGCACCTACTCAAAATTCCCAATATTTCACTTTCTAAAATTGATACAAAATAAGATATGCAACGTATTCATATTTTATATATTATTGTGAAATTATCATTTATAATATTATTACCTACATTACAAAATTCACATATCGTCAGTCTAGAATTGGATTGCTCCACTTGCACAAATGTTTAAAATGTAAAAATCAACATTTAAAGTTTAAAATAAAATATAGAAAAAAGTTATTGATCAATTTTGATAATATCTTTGGCAAAAATTAATATTTTTTCAACATTTAAAGTTTAAAATAAAATATAGGAAAAAGTTATTGATCAATTTTGATAATATCTTTGGCAAAAATTAAAATCTAATTTTTATATATATATTGGGAATAAATTAGTTATTGTCCACTTCTAACTCAAAAATTTTGAAAATGTCGAGTGGAGCACTTTAATTCCAGACCAACGATATATCACCTTCTAAAATTGAGAGAAATTAAAATAAAATATTACCGATAAAATGGAAACATCAAAATCAGAAAATTTTGAAAAATGGCAAGAGATAAAAAAAAAATGAATTCTCGAAAAATAATTTTTTAAAAATTTATTAATCATAAATTTTAGGATATTTTTAAAAATCTTTGATATTTTTTATTGAAACCTAGAACCCTTGAACCCTCCACTTTTAAAATGGGTCCGAGTTCGTACAGCCAAATTACAAGGTTCACACATTAAAGCCAAAATTAGGATATGTAATGAAATCTACAAGGGTTTGAAAGGCAATGCTGGGTTGCATCAAGGGACAGGTTTAATTCAATTTTTATTTCTAGTATATTTGACATGATTATTGTAGACCTGAAATATCTCCTTGATGTGTGGTATTCACAGACCATGCGTTATTATGTACAGACACGTAAAAATTTTTGGGTCGGGTTTTTTATGGTGGCCCGAAAAAAATAATTTTCCAGATATCATAGGCCCGGCCCATTTTTTGGGAATTTCGAGGCGGGGTAGGCTGATCTCTAGGGGTAATTATGAAAAATATTGGATATACAACTTATAAGGTTTACTAAGCGGATAGGAAGATTTAAGATAGAGGTAGTATAGAATTAAAACCGCATATATAAGTGTCTAAATTTTGATATGTTGTATGGTGGAGAAGAATTTCTTCTAGAAATAGGTGATTGGAAATTTAAGTGAGGTCAATTATTTCTAATGACTAAAATTAGGATGGGAAAATAAAGAGTTTTGAGAGGAAAGGAACCATATTAGAAGGTATAAGAGTAGATATTAAGAGCAAGATGTGCTTGCCAGCGTGCACAGGAATAGATTATGAGTGCAATAAAATTAATAATTCTCAGATGGATGCTAATATCTAAGAAGGGGTAAGTAAGTAATAAAGGCATTAGGAAAATGTTGACAGAAAAGTTTCCTATGGGTTTGTTAATGTAGAAAGGAGATAGGCAAAATCAATTAGAATAGAAATAACAAGACTAGAGTTTGGAGGTAAATACAGAAGAAGCGCCTAAATAAAAAAAATAGAATAAAATTGTTGGAAACATGCGGAGCTTAAACTTGACAGATTGGCATATTGAATGAAATAAAAGTGTGCAGAATTCGAAATAAGAGTCCCGAAAAAAAAATTCGACGATCTTATGAAAATAAAATTTAGACAGGATTATTGTTATTTTATTTACATTAATATAAGTATAACTCAGCTAGCATTATGAGAGCTAAAAAATTTTAAAAAAATTTACAATTACAAACCGGGCATAATAATTAGTTGAAAAAAAACATGATGCATTTATTCTTTTCTCAGGTCTTTCATTTACTTTTTGAAAAATTACCTCCAATTTATACTTATTTTTTCTCCATTTTTTTTAAAAGTATATATATATATATTATTATATATTTAAATTCTAAAATATATAATTAGCCAATAAACCCTCTTATCTCCAATAAACTTCTTCTTTTTTTAAAGGAAATATAGAGATTTAAACCACAAAATCAAAATAAATGAATGCTGGAAACAAATTACGAGTGCGATATAATCGGCGTTTGAAGATGGAACAAATATACAAACCGGAACTGAATCCTATTTCGAAATTTCCAGAAAACCGTTCTTAAAAAAATTTACAAGTAATTTTAAAATATTTGATTCTAAAAAACGTTGTAAAATTTATTATTGGATGGGTTCATATATATATTCTTTTTATTACTTTAACACAGGGAAGCGAACCCGGCAAAATTTTAGCCCCGGGTTCGGTTTAAGTAAAAAAATAAAAGGTGGGTTCGGTTCGGGTTGGTTTATGGAAATATTTATGAACCCGGGTTTGGTTCCGGGTTCAGCTCGGGTTTAAGAATTTTTGAATTGATATTAAAAAACTAGACATAAATTTGGTATAAAAATAAATTTTTTATTTTATTTATAGGCAAAATACATTTAAAAATACAAAACAGTCATATATCAATTTTAAAAATTTTATTTAGACGGATTAACATAATATCTTCCAGGAGTTGTTCACTCATCCTCGATCTATATGGTGAGAGAATGAATTTCAAATGTGAAAATAATTTTTCAACGCTGACCTATCAGATGTCTTTCTAAATTAGACAAATGATTACCAGACATTTTTAATTTGTTGCAATATGAGCATACTGATTTATTTTCTATTGTATCAAGAGTAAAATGCTTCTCAAATATGACTTTATTTTTTATCTTAAATCTATATAATAATGAGGAACTTTTATTAAACCTTGAAATAAAAGAGTTAAAGAGGATAAATTTTAAATAGCAATGATTTCATAGAATTAAAAAACAGATATATAAATTTAATTTCAATTATAATATACATTTCATTAATATATATTAAAAATTAATCTGAACAAAAAATAAATCAATATAATAATTTTTATTTTGACTTGTTCATTCCTTTAATTAGTAATCTTTGAGAATAAGTTATAAATTAAAAATAAATGGCGTGAATGTATTTAATTGCTTTAAATTTATTTAACACTCCAATAGGAATCTTTGAAAATAAATTTTAAAAAAAATAAAAAAATGGCGTAAATGAATTAAGTTGTTTAAAATTTATTATCACTTCACTTAAAAGGTATTATGATAATATTATAAAATCTCAATTAAATTATTAATATTTGTATTTATTATACAAATATCTTAATATATGAGATTTTAAACAATACACTGAACCCGCTTGAACCCGGGTTCATAAAAATTCCTGGGTTCGGTTCGGGGTTTTAAAAATTTTATAAATGGGGTTCAGGTTCAGATTTTTTTATCAAAAACCCGGGTTTACTCCTCCGGATTCAGGTTGGGTACAAATCCCTGCTTTAACAAGAGTTTTGAGATGAAAATTAGAACCTTAAACCCTCGATAAATCTAAAAATTGACCCACTTTTATTTAAAATATATTAAGAAAGGGAACCATTTTTTTGTCAGTCCAGGTTTTAAACTCTGGTTATAATGCTCTGCGGTTTTTTTAACCTATACAGTTGTAAAGACGCGTTAATTTTGATTAACACCTCATTTATAGTGAGCAGCGCTATAAGCGATGCGAAATTTACAAAAGCAAGCCAATAATAGGTATAATTTATAAATATGGGACGAAATGATGAAATCACGACACTGTTGATATAACAGAAAATTATAATTGTTAGAACCGTGACGAATTAGCTGTTCGCATAACTCGGGGAAATCGTGCGTACTATATATGCAGAATAAGGCTTACTCAAAATAAAAATGCTATGCTCAAATATGAAACATTTTAGGTGGGCAAATTAAATTTTACGCCTGTTAATGTCACTTACAATTTATGATTTCATCATTAAAGTTTTAATTTACAAAATAGATTTGGAATTATAGGTAAAATTTAATCGAAAATGGCTGAAGATTTTTTTATTTTGAAGAACATTTCAAACTCTATAAATTTATATATATAAAATCTTAAAACTTTATTTTTGTAAATGGATTGATCGGCCTTGTAATTCAACGCTTTCGATAATAAAGCCATCCTATGCCAATGCATAGCTAAAACGATATCGTATTTAACATAATATTTCCTAATTAGAACAAAATATTTAATTTAACGTAAAATATATATATATGTTAGTGGCAATGTGTTTTTTTCCGGCAATGTGTTATTATTTCAACTTTAAATTATTTTTTGAGGCCGTTTTTTAAAATTAAAATCCGATTTTTGCGGAAATGTATTTCAGCATGTTTAGAAATACCTATCTTATAAATTTTAGAGAATCTTACCGTCGTTAACCTTTAACTCATTTATAATTTATATAAGAAATATATGGCTGACGACATGAGAGGGTACGAGATGATAACAATATTTTGTCCAGCCAATCCCAATGATTAAAAAGAGGAAGGACATAAATAATATAAAACCCGTTATTTAATTCACAAATATTTAGCAATTATAAATATTTTACTTGGTAAAAACATTGTTTTTAATTATGTGCTTATTTAAAAACAAAAACAAGGAGAATGTGCAAACACTATAGTGTATCTATGAAAATAAGATAAAATATTCAAAACTATAATAAAACTTAAATGTATCCCCACTTTCCAAAGCTTTGCCCATTTCGTACGTTATTTTCAGGCCGACCATGTTCAGAGAGTCACGTGCTAAGATATTTTGGTAGTCCACACCAAGCATATTAGCGTTCATGTGTGACTGCAAAACCATGTTGTAAACTATATTCTTGGAAGCGGGAAATGGTAACGCATTCGAGGTTAAATTTTGAACAAATAAATTACTCTTTGCAGTGAGATATCGGTTAAAATAGTCCTCTTGGTATATTTGTACCTTTTTGAAATCCAAATTAGACCCATGAAAATCATATTTTGGTAGACATTCTAATTTTTTTTAAAATAAGGTATATTGTTTTTAAAGTCAAACTTTAACAAGTTCCGCTTAAAAAGAACTTGCATTTTTTTCTTCTCTTTAGCTTTCATCTGGTGGTAAGTTCCTTCAATATCTCTCTCTACTTTATGTCTTTTATCTAATTTATACTTCTTTATATTGGCTCTAACTTTATGGTCCCATTGAAGTTTTGGCCTTCCTCTTTACATTTGCCTATCATTTCCAAATTCTCAACCTTATTTCCTATATAATTCATAGGCCTTCTCATTATGTGCCCATACTACCTAAGTCTGTTTACCATTATCTTAGTCTTAATGGGCACTACCTTCTCCTAGTATTTTTGTACTTCGCACTTAACTTTTTTTGTTATCCCAGCAATCATACTCAGCATTCTCATCTCCATTTGTAGACTTCTCTCGTCTGATTCTTTGGGCCATGTTTCCGAACAATATAAAATAGTAGGTTGTACTATGGAATTGTAAATTTTTCCCTTCAAATTGTGTGGGATTCTTTTATCAAAGATTACTCCAGATAAAGATCTACACTACACTTTAACTACCTTTGATTAATTTTACTCTTTATCTCTTTCTCTATTGTGCCGTTTGCTTGTATAGTGGAGCCCAAGTATTTGCAGCTCACAATTGCCGATATCTGCTATTCATTTATATCAATGCTCTCTGTTTCATCTCCTCCAATCACCATATACTCCGTATTTTCTCTATTTACTTTTAGTCCGTGCTTTTCTAGGATACTTATCCAGCTCATTAATCTTTCTTTCATTTCATCCTTGGATTCAGCAAGTATCACAATATCATCTGCAAATATCATATTCCACGGGACTGTTTGTGGTAAAGACTGTGTTAATATATCTATTACTGTTATCAAGAGAAGTGGGCTGAGAGCTGACCCTTAATGACTCTCGGCTATTGTGATGCCTGCTGAAGTACCTACTGTGCTATGGACCTTGTATGGCCCATATACATATCCTGTGTTATTCTTATATATTTTTCGGGAACCATTTTGTGGCGTAGCCCCTACCAAATAAGTTTTCTTGGGATACTATCCAAGGCCTTTTCTAGATCGAGAAAGACAATGTGTAGCTTTTTATTTCCCTGTATTTTTCGCTCATTTGCCTAATTGCGTAGATTGCATTCGTTGATCTTCCAGGCATAAAGGCAAACTGAGTCTCTCCTATTTCGATTTTATCTCTTAACCTTTTATCTATTATTTTTTCGTAGAGTTTAAAGTGTTTCATTAGTTTTATGCCCCTGAAATTTTGGCAATTTTGTGGATCTACTTTATTTTTGAAGATATGAACTAGATAGCTTTGCCTCTTTGAGGAATCTCTTCATTTCCCTGTTTTATTGTACAGATTTGTGAGGAAATGTATTCCATCATCTCCTAGTGCTTTAAGGCTTTCTATTGGAATATCATGTGGACCCCTAGCTTTGTTGTTTTTCATATGCTTGAGGCATGTGATTATTTTTTGTTCTCTTATTGTCTATATAGGATTTCTAATTGTTCATTTAGATGTAGTATGTGGGGATTAAAGTTGAGAAGCTCCTGAAAATATTCTTTCCATCTATTCATTATTTCTTTTTCCTTTATTATCATTTTCCATCTTTATTTATGATTACTTTCGTAGCTCCGTTTATATCCCTTAAATTCTTTTCTCGCTGTTTGGATAATCTGTATATTTTATTTTTCATACATGTCATCGTATGCCATAGATATGGCCCTAGCCACCGCCTTTTTAGATGTTCTCTTGGATTTTTGTTTCTTGTCTTGTCATCTGGGTTTTTTAATTTGTATCATATTTTATATATAGGACTTTTTTCTCTTAATAGTTTGTACGTTTTCATTCCACCACCATAGTTCTTTGTATGATTTGTTTCCTCCCCTTGTCAAGCCTAGTGTAGATTTGGCAATGTCTATTAATCTGGATGAAAGGCCTGTCTACATTTTTTCACTGACTTATGAGGAATCTATTGCTTCAATGTTTGTATTGTTTACAAAGGCATCTGTCATTGATTTTAGTCTACCCCATTTGATGCATGGTTCAAGTTTTATCTTGTTTTGAGTAGATTTATTTGTGAGGTATAAATCCATCACTAGTAAGTTGTGTTGCGCGATAATATCTTCTTCTGGGATGACTTTGCAGTCTATTACATCTTTTAATCTTCTGCGAGAAATAAGCATGTAATCTATCTGGGTTTTCCTTGTACCACTTCCATATGTTATTAAATGACTGTCATTTTTCTTATAGTAGGTGTGAGTTAAGGCAAGGTTGGCCTGCACCAAATTTCAGTACATGCTCTCCTTCATCATTTATTTCTCCATATCCAAAACCACCATGATGCCTTTTATAGCTGTCTCTTGCTTTTCTCACATGCGCTTTAAAGTCTCCACCTTTTATGACCAGGTCATACTTAGGGATTTCCATTACAGCTTCAGCCGACACTGTTCCTATTGCTAAGAATTCCGTTATAGTGCAATTTATACCCATCTCCAATTGTTAAAGTCTTCTGACTTTTCCATTTCGTCTCTTGTATGCCTATATCAACTTTTATCTTGTTCAATATTGATGCCAATTCTCTCGTCTTACCTAGTGTACCAATATTCAAACTTGCTAACCTTGTCTTCTTTGCTTTGACCTTTATTTTAATTTTCACAGGTTGGAGGTCTGCACCTTGCGTGTCGCTTGGAAGGAACGCCCTAGCTTTCATATTCCTTTTTTTGTTTATCCTTAGCACCCGGTTGTCTAAGCCTCTAGGTGAGCGAAGTGTCATCTATAAATTCCGAAATTTACCTTACCATATGTTCTTACACATTAATGATCGAAGAAAAACCTGAAAATTTTTTACGTTCCTTAGTAGGATTGAACCTAGAACCTTCTGCCCAAGTATACATCATAATTCACTAGGCCATCCCGGTGATTAAAAAAGGACTTGCAATAATCTTAGTAAATTTCCAAATGATAAGAAAACTTAATAGTTTTTAAACGATATATTTTTTATATATTTTGTATACATCTTTTAAAAATTCCATAAAAATAAATTTAATATTTGATTTTCTTATACATCCCTTACAGAATAAATATATTGACACCCATCATTTGTTGAATGAATTTTTTTAAAAAATAAAGAGTGCGTTATAAATAAAAAGAATTTCAATTTTAAAAAATGGGGTTGTCCGGATTTCGATTGGAGACCTGAATTAAATTGCTCACAGATAAATCCAATGGTATAAAATTAGTATTTTAAATAGTTAAATAATCGAACTAAAACTGCTTCATAAAGGTTGGATAATTTTATCTATTTTATATAAAATATAAATCTATTTTATATAAAATATAAATCTATTTTATATAAAATATAAAAATGTTAACCATCTATCATATCTATGCAATATTCGTTCGTGCTATTCGAGATTTGACCTTGAATCTTACTCGGGCAACACAATGCGCATTTGCAATTAAAAAACAAGTTAGTTCTGAAGAAATGTTGTTTAACAGAGGTTGAGGCTATAAGATTCATGTAGGAGATATAGACCTGGGCATTAATTATATATTTTTTTTTAATCAAGTATTATTTTACTTCGAGTTTCTCATAGCATATTTTTGTCTGGGGCCGTTTTATGTTCGGCATTCCCTTTATATTTATAAATTATGTGCTTCCAAATTCTCACGTGCAGTTTTTCTTTTCTTCATATAAATTAGAATTTAGTTGTTATATTCCATATAATATAAAATTTTGATTTAATATTCTGACTATTTTAAAAATCGACTAATTTAACCAGGCCCGGATATGTTTTTCTAAGAAATTGCCGCAATCATAAAATTTGAAAGCACTATAATAACCAATTCCATAATGCAACCAAAGAATCAATGTGATGAATTTGAATTTCACAAAAAAAACCTATCAATAAATACCTTATTTTAAAAGAATGACAATATAAACTAGTGGTCTGCATCGGAACCCGGCCCGGCCGGCCCTGAATCTATTTAAATATAGAAATTTATTTCTATAATTACTCAAAATAAAAGATACATGCTAATGGCGTCTAGTTTCTATAAAATCAAATATTTTTATTTTACATAAAAAATTCAACATAAAATTGATAAATTTATATATATTTTGAAAAAAATTCAAGGCTGACCCGACTCGGCCAGAATTTTTTTAAAAGATATTAAGCCCGAACCAGCCCCTTCCTCCCGATTTTTTAAAGGGCCGGGTCTACTTTTGCGGATCTCTAATATAAACACTTATAAATATTTTCTAATGTTTTGAAAATCAATTTTATTCACATTATATACTATTTCTATTTACATATTTTTGTAAGTCATTTGCATTGGGCAGTTTAAGATCGTCAATCAAAACCAAATGTTGAATCCGACCGTTGGGTATCCAAACTCCGTTTGGTACACAGCTATGATCAAATTTTGAAAGACTAATTTTTTTTTAAAGATATATTATTAAATGCGTGTTGAACTTTTATTAGTGACCAACTTTTAAGGTGAGAACATAGAAGATTCAAATGATTAATTCGGCCCATCTTAAGCCATCGAAGAAATCTAATATGATCATATAAAAAAAGCGAGACTGTTACTTTCGACCTATGAAGAAAAACATTTTCCCGACCCGAACAAAAAATTGATTCCATATTCCTTAACCCGACCCGAAAATCTATAACAAAAAAATTATCCTAATTCTTATTAACAAATAATTTAGTTCTGGTTCAAAGGAAGTCATAGACGCAGCCAAGATTTTAGAGGGTGGGGCAAATTTAGGTGGGTTTTTCGATATAAATTATATTTACAAAACTTTATGCACACCTATCACAGATCTTTGGTCGAGTTGAATTGTAGTCATTAAAGTGACATATTTCTTACATTTTAGGGGAGAGGTGAGGGGGCGAGGGTAGATTTTTTATCATATAATAATGATATTGATATAAATAGGTAAATTTCCGAACGGTAGAAGTACCCACCCTATAAATTTGACTAAGTCGAGGGGAGCCATAATTATTCCATTATACATAATCACAGAAAGTTATTTTAAATTTGAAGATAAGAATTTGATCGGAAATAATAATAATAAAAAAAAAATCTGGCAATATACTTTGGGTAAACTCCTGTGCCTATTTTATTGCGATTTTCGTCTAAGATATCAAAGTTATTAATCACAATCTATTGCGGAGGGGGGGGGGGTTAAAATATAAATTATAATATGATAGCCATTAGTAAAGTAAGATTGATCCGAGACCAGGCTACGTTAAATGGTCTAATTTTAAAAATCTGGACCAGGTTAAACATAATGAAATAAGTTATAAGAACAAACATTAAACGATTGCGATGCTATATAAGCCAAATATTTTTTTTAAAAAAATATAAATTATATTAAAATTATTCATTTACTTCTCCGTGTTGTAAATTTCTATTTGAAATTTTTTTTATAAAAATGGAGTTTACGTTTCGGGTTGGTTTTAAAAAATTGCTCCACCATGCCGAACCATGACCTAACTACTAGTTATAGTTTTTTGGTTTCGCTCCCTCTAAAAATTTTCAAGGTTGATGAGAAATATTGAATAAAAAGATTCAATTTCGTAACCAGCCCTCAAAGCAATTTATTGTTAGTGGTTATACACCATACAATGTATAAGAATTAATTATATTTGTTCAACAATCTAGCATTATTTAGAGCAAACCTATTTTGTTATCCTTTATGGAGTGGGATATTTTTGTAAATTGGTTCATAGGGAAATTGAAAATATGAGCAGTAAATAAATCTTAAATAATTCATTATGCCTTCTCACCTTATTAAATAATTGATATAAATTAAAATTATTTGTTTCTAAAAATCATCCCGTCCGGATTTAACGAAGAATAAGGCGAGTTACAAAATTTTAGCCACAGATAAAAAATTTGAGGGAACAAATATTTATTTATTTCAAAATTGCGAGATTAAATGTCACATTATAAAATGACGCCTTGGCGAGTAATATTTTATAGCGCAAATATAAATTCACTTTAAAAAAAATATGATTGCTTTATCTATTAAACTTACTTTGCAGTATATGTGACGAACTATTTGTTGATATTTATCCCTTATTTCCTTCGGAAATAATTGTTTGATTTGCTCGAGATAACCATATATTTGAAAATTGGCAGTTCCCATTTTTTCAAAATGATCCATCAAATCAGAAAATTTGTATTTAGTCAATTGAATTTTTTCATTAGAATATGATATAGAATTTTCTGGGACATTGCTTTTTGATTCGCGCTTTAAATTGATACATTTTCAAAAGAATATTTCAAAATTTCTATATTTTAATTTGAGATCTTCTTCCTAAGTTTATTTTATTTTTAGCCTTTTAAGCCAAATTTAAGCTGGGCTAACCAGAGTTTTTAGTGGAAAACTATCATTTTGGACCTCGAGGTTTTTCATAAAAATGTAGCAGCTCGAAAAACTTATATAGATTAAAAGGCCTTAATGTGGATTTTCTCCTGTACGCGTCTATAGATCCTATTTTACCGGCATTTTGAATAGGTTATATTTTAATTTTGAAATTTTAAGCTTTTTTTATTATTATTGATGTTTTTGTACAAATGTTAACAGTTTTAAAGTTACAATTTAAAAATGAAATAAACTATTTGTTTGAAGATTATACGCATTACGAGGTGGACTTCATGATCAAGTTGAAATCGTTCTTCCATAGTTAGAAGTTGCAATTTTTTGCATTCATATTTATGATCAACCCAATCTTTTTTCTATGAAACATAAATAAGTTAATATTTAAAATCACATATTGCTTTTCATTTTATTTTAACTAAGGATGTCAAAAAAAATTTATGTAAACATAAATAAGTAGAAAAACAAACATCTTTTGCATTTTAAAAATTAAAACTTTTTAGGCAGTCCAAAATATTAAATAATACGATTCGAAAACTTTTGAAACTTTATGGGAAAAATATAAGCTGCTTTTTAAAATACAAAAATAAAACATGTCCAAAATATGATTCTATATAATTTAAAAAATTTCGAATTATTTTTAAAAAAACTTTAGAATTAAACTTAATAAAAAAATTTAAAAAATAATAAAAATAAAATGGAAAATAAATCTGCAAAAAAGGTAAGCAGACGATAGTAACCCATGACCGGAAAAATATCATCTGTTTCATCTCATAATCTTTTTTTTATAGATGTTATTAATTCATTGCATCTATCATTTACCCAAAGATGGCGCCATTGGATACCGTCAAATAAGATTACAATATAGGGAAGAATTTACAATTCACTTAAGTTTTGAGATGTTTAAAAGTTCTTTAAGCTCGGCCCATGATCCTTTTAACCAGGCCCCGCCCATACTTATTATTTATAAAGGAATAATCAAATCGGTATTATACAAGGTTTAAAATATTTCGGGGCAACCCGACTGGAAAAATATTGACACAAATTGCCAGACCCGGATTTTTTAATGCCAACCAGATCTCTAATCTCACCCCCTTAACGCACCTATTAGTTAGGGCCAATAAATTAAAGGTTTCAAGAGGCAAATTTTTAAGATCAAATCTTATAAATATCTCTCTCAAAGGTATAAATTAAGTTACTTTAATTCAATAAAAAATAATTTATATACTTGGCACTCCTTGTTACAATAGCAATGTAATCCACAGCTAAGGCATTTATAAAGTTTGTTTTTTGTGCTAAAAATAATTTTTGTTTTCAGTATTGATGAAAAAATTTAAATTATAATAAATAATGAGATTTATAGGGTAGTATTATGATTGTGGAATTATGGAATAGGTGATTATGGCAAATGAAACCTATTATTTTAACTTACATCAACTATTAAGATATTTAAATATTTTTAACAAATAGAATGTCAAGTAATCAATGTAAAGTTTTTTTTAAAAAATTATTTTTTTTATTCTCATCTATTCTATTAAATTAAAAAATTAATTAAAACTAAATAAAAGCATATTCTCTTTCTTAAAACAGCGAAATCTCAAATTTTTTCTTTATTTTTAAATTTACCTTTGAATGTTAATTTATTTCATAAAAACATAATTATTACACTTACAAGCAATATGAGCAATGAGTGTCTCTACATTTATTTAAAAGACTTGCCACGTAAGGTTCTTCGGAAAATAGTAATGTCCCTGTTTTTAATAGAATATTTTCATTTATTGCGGTTTTTGACATTTTAGATTATGGTTAACAAAGCAAAGCAAGGTAGTTTAATTATATGATCTTTTATATATTTTTGTATTTTTTTAAATATATTTTATTTTATTTATTTTGATATTATATTTAGAATTAAAATATATAATATCTTGATTGTTTTCACACCATTTAAAAACAATGAAAGTAAAATATTATGCATATCCACCATTATCATTATGCTTATGTAATAATAATAATAATAAGATTAATTAATTATCAAAATTATATATAATTTACAATACATTATATTAATTTATAAAATAAATTTATAAATTTTTTATTTTGACGGATGTGTGAAAATATCGAAATACCCACCCACTTTGATCCTCATTTAATTCAAATATTATATAACTAGCAACAGTATACTTTTTTTTCAAGGTGACTATATATTTTTTGGAAAAAGGTTATCGCAAAGCTTTGTTTTTTGCTATAAAATATTTTGTGTATTCTATTAAATAGCAATCCTTCTAACCAAGTCTGTGAACCCAGAATAGAGTTCAGGAGTTTTTAACTCTGCGGACATTTAGATGACATAAACTTAATCAAGACCGATTTTTTTCTGAAATTGGTCATAACCTGCCCGGTTCAAAAACATCCAAGATTTAGTGGATTGTTCATATATCAGTCTCTGTTTAGATTGTGTTCACCAAATGTTCAATCAAACAATTTTAAAAAACTGTACCCTAATCTAGGTTCATATAACTCAGCTTTCAACGCTACTTTAAAAAAATCATGTCTAAATTTTATATTACTTAGGACTACTAAATCAAATATTGCAGTTCAAAATTTTTTTTAATAAATGTATTATGGAATCTTTATTCAAATTTAAAATATCAATTTATACACAAAATAAATGATTTTCATTAGTTAGAAAACCTGCAGGCCTGGCCCTAAGCCCGGCTTGGGCGTATTTTAAATTTTTAAAATATATCCGGACCGGGCCTGAAATTTTTTTTTAAATACTCGAGCCGGGTCGTAAAATTATTTTCACTCATAGTATCTATTACATAATATTATAGTTTTCTTGCCATGTAATAATTACGTAAAGGATAATAGGTAATAAATACATTATTATATAATATATATAATATTTTTTACTAAATATCTGTTTAGAATAAAAAAAATAAATATGTAAACGGCTCGTTTGACCGATTTTAAAAACCGATAACACACTATTTTATCCAGAAAAATATTACGCAAGCCTGAAAATTATGTTCTTAGAAGGAGCAAAGGCCTAGACATATAGTATCGAAATTTCGAGGCTTAGTCAATATTTTTCTGGCGAAAATATTGAGTTCGCCGTTTTTAAAAATCGACTCAAAGAGACGTTTAACAACATTAGCTAATATGCTTGCTTATTAGATGATATGACTCGCCGAAAAATATGATAAAATCACGAATAGGAAAATTTTTTGTATATACCAAGTCTAAAATAATTTTTAAAAATTGCGAGCCGGGCCTAAAAAAATTTTTTTTAAATATCCGAGCCGAGCCGGGCCTAAAATTTTTAAACCCGGGCCGGGCCGTTAAAAATTTTTCAAAAAAAAATCCGGGCCGGGTCGTGTAAATGGTACAATGGGAGAAAGAATCAATCTTATTATAATTTATAATAATAAAATATATCAAAATCCCATATTTTTTAATATGTTTATATATGTCGTAATTTTTTAAAGGGATCAGAACTATACAGGATCTTCACGGGTTTTAAAGGGATAACTAAAAAATTAGGTTTATAAGTTAAGGAATGATAATACGGTATTATCACGTTTTAATCGTGATAAGGAGGAATTTTATTTTAAAAAGCGTTTTACGCGTGTTTCGTTTCGTTTTTTAATATTATTGTTATTTATTATTTTTCAATGTTGTTTTTTTTGGCCTTATGAAATAAGATAGGTCTAATATAGGTATCAATCGATAGCTAATCAAAAGATCTATTCAACTGAAGGTCAATCTCTCCTAATGGGCTGATCTAGGTCTTGGGGGATCAGAAATATTTTTATCAACACAAAATATCAGTATGGGTATAAAATAAAAGCTAATTTTAATATTGCTTGATTGACAGCCTTCATTCTTGGTCTTGATGGGTATGCCTTTGTTTGTCTGGGGGAGTGGTGGGGGGTGGAGGGGAGGTGTATAAAATATTTTTTTTGACATGGGTATCAATGAAAAGCTAATTTTAATATCGTTTGACTTAAAGTCTTCATTCTTGGTCTTGATGGGTATGATTGGTCTGAAATGTGGGGGGGGGGGCAGCTTTTATGGAGTTAGAAGAGCCGATTATTAATGCTATAAATGAATGATTTTTAATTCATCATGCAGCACTTACAAATCCGCATATATTACTTCTACAAAAGCCTTTCCAACCTTTTTCAGATGTGATAGAAAAAAAAATAAAATATTTGTTAGATTTTTATCATGCAGATGTTAAAATATCTTATGATGCCTTATTAGCTGAATAACATTGATTAAAAGATTAACTATGGTTGATACGTCCCAAAAAATGCTATGGTTTGCATTATTTCAAACACATTTTAGATTATATTCCCAATGTATTAAAATGATTATATATATATTAGCAACTCTTCCCATTAGTAAACTAATGAGAGAACATTCTCTTTTTTAAGAAGAATAACAGAGCGGTGATTTTTTTTAAAGAAATTTTCAGGCCCAGCCTGGCTATTTTGAAAATAAAATTTTACCGGCCCGAATTTTTTAAAATAAATCATTTTATTTTTGATTTTTATAGCTAATAATGGCGATTTCAAATATTTTAAAATATATACAGCTCGGCTAGGATATTTTTTTAAAAAAATTTTTAGGCCCAGCCCGGCTGTTTTTTTTTAAAAAAAATTTCGGGCCCGGCCCAGGTATGTTTAAAAAAATTAAAATACGGTCTGGCTCGGGGGCCGGGCTTTCAAGTCTCTGAAAAACATACCTATGAAATACAACTTCTGTTAGTAGTTTGAATGATTTGGATCTTTTGAATATTTATACGCCAAGCAAGGATAGATAATTGAAAAATTAGCTCAAAACATACAAAATACAATTATTCCTAAAAAACCTTATGTGTATTAATTTATATTTTCAACATTTAAATTTTTTATACTATATATATTTTATAGGAAAAATTCAAATTTCAATTTTGGGTCATTTCAGTGATTCATATCGTGGTTATATTCACTTTATATTTTATAATTCACATTTATTTTATAGTTTTTTGTGTATTAGAGCTATTAGTCCTAATAAATTTATGCTTAGGATTTTAAATTATCAATAATATTTCTTAAAAAATTTTATTATCCACCCCCCCCCCCAGACCAAATTCCTGCGTACGCACCTGGATACCTGCATTGAAGTAACGACTAAAATTTCAATAAGTTTTGAGGACTTATAATCAAAATTAAGTCGTGACTGAAATGGTCAGTTGCCACTTGCGTTTTAGAATTCATTTTCACATTTTTGTTATAAAATTTCTTCAATTTTTATTAAATTTAAATTTTCTTCATTTTTTTATTATTAATTTTTAACAAAAATTAAATTTGCTCTCTTTTAGGTGAGTGAATGTGATATAATCCGATTTGCGGTTTTTCAATTAAATTTGCAAAATTTTTAAATGGAAGCTTTTGCTTGTATCTAGCTTATATAAGCGCAACACTGTAGACAAGAGGCAAATTTACTCTTACTATATTTTTTTTTATAATTAGGCTAAATTTATCTTAATTTAAGTTATAAAAAAAAGAGCATATACTAATATTAATTCAATTTTATTAATGTTCATTCAAAGATAATATATCTAAATTGTTATTTTATTTAACCTTTTATTATGCTTTAAATATAAGGTTCACTGATTTTTTTTAGCAGTAATATGCATACGTGTAATTAGAAAATATTTTTCAAAAAAAGTTCTAATATCTTCTTTTTATTACCTTTTTTTATTTAATAATTTTATCATTTTTGAATTTATTTACGATAAAATCTTCTGCTTCGATGTTGAAGAATTATTTTTATTACGTATTCTTAGGCCTGATATGCTTCGTTATAGCGGACTTCAATATTACACATTTAACTGGTAACTATCTTATATTATTTTATTTTAAAAATGAATTTATTTAAAAAATGCACATATATATAATTATTATCGAATAAAATAATGAATAAAATATGAATATTAATATATGGGTGAAGGCTTTAAACCCTTAATCACAAAGTCAATTGCGAAATCGGTCAATTTATTATCCAAGAAATTTCAGAATCAATGTAACGAAAGATGAATCCGAAACTTATGATACAAGAATAAAATTCAGGGCTCCTAAATCATTGATGCCAAATTATTCAATCCATGATTACTCCTACACTTTGTATGATGTTAGCGATAAGGAGACACCTTATAAGGTTTTCCAAAAGTTCGACAACAATCTAACGGTTTGTTTAAAATATAATTATGAACCTCATGTAACTTTATCTATTTATATATAGCTAATATTTATTTTTTTGAATTTCAAATAAAATAGGAAAAGAACGAAATAAATTTAAGTAACTTAGTTAAAGACATAACATATTGCATACAACTTTCAATGGCCTACATACCTTCTATATATTTCTACGATTCTTCAGTTTGGAAAATATTCGAATGTAATATTTAAATTTCATTCAATTTTATTAATTCTTTTTAAGATATTTTTGCTTATACAACCTTTTAAGTCACCTTTTAAAAAATTATCTTATATATCCACAATAAAAAATATAACATATAACTGAGAATAATCCCTTATTAGCATTATTACATTTGTAAACTCCTATTAAAATTCAAGAAGATATAAAACACTATAATACATAGCCAACGCTACAATATCTTTTATCCTGTTTATTTAGATTTTAAAAATGGGGAGAGGGGACAGTATATGAGAAGGAACATCATGTTGCTAACAAAGCTATATATGATGAAAAGGAATTTTAAAATAAAAATGATCTATCTTTAAAAAAAA